ACATGATTGCCACTTTCCACTATACGTCCTCTGTCAAGTACACAGATCAAATCACATGTACGAATGGTTGAAAGACGATGAGCAATTGTCAGTGATGTTCGACTAGGATCTTCTTTTTGAGCTTGTTCAAGAGCTTCTTGTACAATCTATAAATGACACAAAAAATGAAGATGAAGTTTTAATTGATGATAACAAAAACAAATAAACATACTTGTTCATTGTGTGAATCCATGGCACTTGTAGCTTCATCTAAGAGCAATACTTTAGGTCGACGAAGAAGAACTCGAGCTATAGCAATACGTTGCTTCTCACCACCTGATAGAAAACTACCTTTCAATCCTACTTTTGTTTCATAACCCTTAAAAAAAACAGTTATTACACAATAGTAATAGATACATTATATATATATTTCATGATTGTTTAACCTGAGGTAATTGTTCAATAAACTGATGAACATTAGCTTTAATTGCTGCATTGATAATGTCTTCCATTGGAATATTTTCTAAACCATATGCTATATTTTCAGCGATCGTTAAATCGAACAAAATTGGTTCTTGACTAACAAGACCAATATGAGAACGAACCCATTGAATATTTAGTTTTTGAATATCAATACCATCAAGAAGCTACATTGAATAAATAAATCTTATATAACTACTTAAACTATACATTAAAGAAATACTAACTATTCTACCACTTGTAACATCATAGAAACGTTCCAAGAGTTGAATGATTGTTGATTTTCCACATCCAGATCTACCTGAAATGATTATATTACGTTAGTAACATTAAAAAAAGACATAATCTAATTCAAACATACCAACAAGACCTACATGTTGACCTTATCAATGAATACAAATCAAAAACAAATAATTAAATCGACACTTTGCACACTTACTTGGCATGATATTCAACTGGAATCTGTTAAGAATAAGAGATCTTGGTCGACTTGGATAGATAAATCTGACTTGATCAAATTCTATCTTTCCATGAAAATCCGCCTGTAAGAATGATATTATATCAATAGTATATGAATGATTAAAAGAAAATCGCTATCTTCTATGTTCTCTTACTATTTCTAGTCCTTCAGTAGATGTGTTGTCGATAGCTGGTTCTCGGTCAAATAAATCAAAGAATGCTTCAGCAGCTGAGACTGATGTAGCAATATGATCAGATCTAGAATTCAAGTAGTAGAAGAAAAAGCAATCAAAGTAGAGATAGACAAAGTTACATCATTCCGAGGACTTTGAGTGCTTGTATTGTAAAAGCAGCAATGGCAAAGGCCCTAATGAATTGAAAAGATAACGAAACATTGTATCGAAATGAGAAACTGTTGTTTCAATTACGTTATAATATGGTTCGATGTGAGTTCATTGTTTTCAACAAGAATGAGAGCACGCCAATATAGAAATGCTAAAGCGAATCCATCTAGTGTCCAGAAGATACTAGATGTCATTGAAGATAATAGCAAAGATTTCCAAGACGATCTGTGACAAAAAAAGAATGGTTAAAAATTTGTACATATATAAGATTTAATTGACTAACATAAATAGTTGATGAAGAAGTTCAGAATATTGTCGTAATACTTCTTTTTCTATTGACAACTGTTTTATTGTACGCATATTGCTAATAACTTCAACAGCAAGCTACAGAAGTAACAGATAGAATGTATATAGGATGTTCAGAGAGTCATTAACCAAGAAAAAATTCGAATATCTTCACTATGATTCAGTGAAATGAGCTGATTTACATTCTGAGCGTACTGAATAGTTTAAAGTATGTAATTGTTCGTGAGTAATGATGTCATACGCATAAAACTTACAAAACCTTAGTTTACTATATCACTTAACATCTTTAATGAAGATTTATCTAGCATCTGTAAACAGTTCTACTATTCTAATCTTGTGTTAAAAACTAAATCACCGGCTAAGTTTAACAATTGGGCTGTAACGTTTTCATAATTGCTGGGACAAAGAAGAGCGACTTCTTTCATACTTATGTTGTTGTGCTGTACAACAGCTATTCTGATTGACAAACAAATGGAAGAGTATCATACAGTCTCTGCTTATAGCTTCGAGTATGAAAACGCTTGTGGGTTGTTTGTAATGTAGTGAACAGATATTTGCTAGTTTTTATGCGCATGAAGGAACTATTCAATCATGAATAAACAATTGAAATTGTCCTTTTCCGCAGATGTAAATCACCTGATCTCATTGAATCATAGTAGAGATATTGAAGTTTCTTGTCGCCTAATTACTTTTTCGACATCATTGATAATGTATATCGTTTGTTAAGAAATTCACAAGAAAACAATTTTCTCTACAACAAGGACTATTGTCTCAAAACTCATCTTACTTTGCTTGCTCCTCTGATCCTGTGATCAAATTGTTGATCTCGCCATAGACGTAAGCATACTTCGCCATAGGCGACTAAGCATAGAATAAATAAAGAGCCAAAAATGATCAACGTCAGTTGCCAGCTTATGAAACATCCAAAAATAATCCCAAAAAACGATAGGGAGAGAATTTCACAGATAACTCCTAATCGTGTACCAGTCATTTCTTGAATAGCTGATGCATCAGAAGATAGACGAGTACAAATAGCGCCCGAACTATTTTCAGGTCGATCGAAATAAGCAACTTCTTGACGAAGAAGACATGAAAAAGTTTTCGAACGAATACGTTGTGTTAATTTTGATCCTGCTATGGCAAATGCTGTATACTATAGAAAAGATTAAATTAATCAATGATCGAATTCAAAAGCAATATATTTACCTGAAAGAAACGAAAAACAAATAAAATACCACCCAAAAGTAAAAACAGAAAACTAGCAAGCAATATGTGATGGCGTCGTTCAGTGGCTGAACAATATTTGAGTGCCTATATTATAAATAAATTGACAAAAAAAAATGAATATTCTCAATTTTTTTTCCAAAATATATATGTGGATGGATCACTCACCTCAACTATTTTGACAAGTAAAAATGCGAACAATGGTTGAGCTGCTCCATTAAGGACACATGCTATACAACCAATTGAGATTGTTATCCATTCAGGACTATTCATTGACAAAAGTCTTAAAAAGACAAATCTTTGTTTAGAAGATTTTTTAATTTGCTAAAAAAGAGATCATCAATAATGATTTTCATAAATAGTTGTGGTTGTATATGTACTTTGTTCACATCAATAGTTTGAATATCACTAATTAAGCGAGAGCGCTCAACTGCTCAAAAGAAAAACAAAGAAATATGAAGAGAATTATTATAAGAATAGTAACATACGTATTGACTTTTCATCTTCTTCTGTTGCTTTTTGTATGCTCATTTTATCATCTTGATTATCATAGATTCCTTCCATTTGTTGACGTATGACCATTGCTTGATATTTACCTCCATCTATTTTCATCAATGTTTCATGTGTACCTTGTTCAATAACACTTCCTTTATCTAATACATATATTTGATGAGCATTTTGAATTGTCGTCAAACGATGAGCAATTACAAGAGTTGTACGACCTATACAAAATATTATATATCAATACAATAAGTAAAAGAAAACAACTTATTACCATTGCATGCTCGATCGAGTGCTTCCTGAACAATTTTTTCACTAACATTATCAAGTGCACTTGTTGCTTCATCGAGTAAAAGAAATGTAGGCTGTTTGACAAGAGCACGAGCTAATGCAATACGTTGTTTCTCACCACCACTCAACTGTACACCACGTTCACCAACAAGAGTTGCATATTTCTAAATAAGAAATGATGATACATATATATATATATATTTATAAATAGATAAAGATAAATATTTGGCACAAACATCTGGTAATTGCATGATAAAATGATGTGCATTTGCTTCTCGTGCTGCTTGTTCAATTTCTTCTTTTGTTGCATTTACTTTACCAAAACGAATATTTTCATATATACTCATATCAAACAAAACCTATTGCCATAATTAATCCAATATATAGACAAACAAAAAGAAAAATGAAAACAAAGCATACAGGTTCTTGACTAACAACTCCAATGTTTTCTCGAAGTTGTTTGACATTGTAGTCTGTTATTGGCCGACCATCGATTGTTATTCTACCTGATGATGGTTCAAAATATCGAAGAAACAATGACATACATGTACTTTTTCCTATGAATAAATAATGAACATAAATGAGATCATTTTAACATTTTTATTTTGATAAAGACTTACCAGAGCCACTTGAACCTACAAGAGCAGTCGTCTCACCAGCACGAGCAACAAGAGAGAGATTACGCAGAACTGGTGCTTCTTTTCGAGATGGATAAATAAAGTCGACATTGTCAAATTCAATATCACCATTAATATTATAAATTGATTCTGTATCATCTTTCCATACATCTGCTTCATTAATACTTGTATCATTTCCCTAGATCATGTAAACAAAAATTGAAAACATTGCCATCGATGTGAAATCTTAATTTACTTTAATTTACCTCATCAATAAGTCTAAAGACCGCAGCTGCTGCACCTCGAGCTTCTGCAAACGACTGGAAAAAAGGACCGATGAAGCTGAACAAACTCAAGCAATCTGTAAAGATGAAGACGACCTGCAATAACATAGTAGTGCTATCATTTATTTATATAATAATTGATTGACTGAATAACTTACCACAAGAATATCACTAATATCCGAAGTATGATGAGCTCTGTCTGACATGAAAATAGAACCAAAAATGAAGCCAATTGAATAAACAAGGTAAGTTATCAGTGATAGCATTCCAGTAAAAACTCCAAACATTGCACCTTGTCTTATACTGCTCCAAAGAGTAGGACGTAATGCTCTTTCATATCTAAATAAAATGAATAGAACAACAGTTTTTATGATATCAAATATACAAATTATTTTTATATATTGGCTTACCGTTTCTGCTCAAAATTGCTACCATTAAACGAGAGAACAGTTCTCAGTGAACTAAACACTTCCAGAACAATTTGCCCTGCTTTGGAGTATGTCATTAATTCATTCATTGTTTCTTTAGCAGAGACCTATGGTAAATGTTGTACAGATTTAAATTGATTCGACAACATGTTTTACCTTAGAAAATACAAATGAAGTACCAATGACTAAAGGTACCAAACATAGCATGACCAAAGTTAATGGCCAGTTAATAGCTAAAGATGCTGTAAAACAAACAGTAATGCAGAGTATCATTGCCATCAATACGAGCAATTCCAAGCCAAGACCTTTATCGATTTTTGCAATGTTACTGAACAAAAATTCAATCAGATATAGTTAATTCATACACAATATCACAATGACTTACTCAAATAGCTTAACACTAAATTGACTAGGCGATTTGGAATCCATATAAGGGACGGTCTAAAAATACAGATTGATAGAGAGAGAGAAAGAGTCAGATATGCACAGATTCGACTGATTATTCCTCTAACCACACTCTTATTTTCAAAATTCATCCGTATCTATATTGTGAAAACTCCAACCAGCTCCCATTTTACGTTTTTCAAAGATTCTACCTTAACTTTAGCTATAAATATTCATGCTCTACATTGTAAAAACGATGCCACATGAAATCCGGAAAAAGATTCTAGATTTCCCATGAAATCGAAATTGTTTGTAAGTTTCGTAGAAAAAAAATTTTTACTTAGCTTCAAAAAGGATTTCGTAGCTTAAATTTCATACGAACTCCAATGTAATTCCATTAAACCTGTACTAATCCATCTGTCTACATCTGTGCTACTATGTCTACACTCGCCTCAATCTATATATGTCTGTTCTTCTGAATTTAACTTCCCATCTTTATCTTCATAATATACTTTCTTCAATGTACTCCCGTAAATTTACACATATCCCCTTAATCTGTATTAATTTCCTTAATTTAACTGCTCAATCTATCTTCTTAATTAGCTCTGCCAGCGTGTCACTCTAAACTCGTGTATATCCAAGTATAGGTATACTTATGTTCTTGGATCTATAATTACATCCGTTGGAAATACATGAACAATTTGCCTTAATTTTGTATTAACCTTTGACTAATCACTTTATCAGTAATATTAATAAAAACTGGTTGAATGACATCGCATTGTTCATTATTAACAACCGTCAACGGGTCATCTAACTGTTTATGATAATTTTAAGTTGTTTCTGTTAACATATTATTTATTTAAAATTAAGCTAATAAGTGGCTTACGTCAAGACTTTGCTACTTTTATGAATTTTCTTGGTGAGGGAAGGTATATTGACGACCATAGCATTTTTTTCTATAAAACTTGACTAACAATATTAAACTTACAGTTTGTGACGCCTGACAAAATATCAATCCAGAATTTCGAAAGATCATACAAAGATTTGAATTCCTTGATCGTGAAAACTTCTAGTCAAGTTACATTTAAAAAATCACTATTTTCACAAAATAGACTGCTCTAAATGCGAAAAATTGAACGAAATAGCAGTACACTTGCTCTAGTCACTTATCCGCTCAAGTTTAAGTAAGTTATGCATTAACAAAAACAACGCAAACTTAATAACAAGGTATTTTCCTCAGAATTGATTTTGGATCAAGTAAATTCAAATTGCACGAAAGTTTTAGGATCTGTTTGGACTGTAGTGGCGAGAGGAGACTAGGATAAAATTTCAGGCTTATATCATGAGGTTTTCAAGAGATGTGCGACAAGCAAGGATAAAAAAAAGGTTAATTTGGTCTTTTAAAATTCTTACTAGGCCTTCACTTTATGTATTCAATTTATTTTGTTTGAAGGAACATATCAGGACGTAGTGTCTGTTAATACCAGTTTTTACTTAATTGTGACCTTTTTGAGAAGGAAAAGGATGATTATTCGATAGCCTGCAAAATTCTTCACAATATTGAAGTATTTTTACCATTTTTGAAAAGTTCTTTGGGACATCGAATTTATCATCTTTTTCTTCCTCAGAAAAGTAAGAATTTTTAAAAAAGGTTTTCAATAGGCGCTGCATTCTGACATTCTCTTTCAAACAAAAAAGAATTAAACATATAGGATCAAAGGTCAGAGAGACCTTCTGATCGCTGTTTGATGCATAACTCTTGTAAACCTTATGATTTAAAGCTGGAAATTCTTAGCATAATCCTTCCACCACAGATAGAATCGATGCCGGTTACCGACTAATCTGATCTTTTCAGACTAATATCAGTGCCAGCAATCAAAAATTCAGACCGATTCTGTCTCTGTACCACGTATATGATATAACTTGGCACATCAAGTTTGTCACGTGACAAACCTTATGCTCAATATCCAAACTACTTTTTTTCTTGTCCAGTTAGTTATCGATATATCATTCGTTATCGGTAGACCGGTTGTTTCGGTCGAGTGTGACCTTTTGACACCAATTCCATCTGTGCCTTCGACTAAGGATCCAGCATACCCTAAAAGTTTCTTGCGATTTGAATGTACTTGATTCAACATCAACTATGAGGAGAGAGAAGTGCATTAACAGCTAATTGGCTTGCTGGCCATCAATATGAAGGAACTGAGTAATACTTGACGTCCTTTGATTTTTTTTATAATATTAATCGTTAGATAAAACTAATTAAGGTTTACGATAATTAAGTTGAGTTAAAAAGATCTATTAGATTATAAAATCATTTGAAATCTTAAGATCTGCATTATATCCCTTGATCAAAAACCATTGTAGCTCACAATTTATTCTACAGTTGGTAATGAGTATCTTATTCAGAAGACTTCTAATCAAATCAAACATCTTCGAAGCGACTGACAGCGATTTTAAGAGTTCAAAAGATTTTGAGCGGTTTTGAAAGATTCGAAATGCCAAAATCTGATGTTTCTCCCTTGAGGATAGTTTCATAAAATCTTATAAGTTCCGTAGTGCATCTTTTTCTTCATTGCACTCAATCTTGTTTTAAATAGTTGAACTCTGTCACTTTTGCTTCTGTAATAGGTGTTTTCACTCTGAGCATTTTTTATGTTCACTCAACGAGTTACCAAGTCAACAGAAATTAAATCGCGATAGATGGAACACTTTTAATTCCAATTGTACTTCAACTCTGCTTTAAGCCGTCACTAACTTCTTTTCGACTACATCCATCAAATATCAGGTTTTAATATTCCAAGGATCTAGCAAGAGCACCACCGAAATACCCTCTTCCAACTTGAAAGATTTTTCACCTGTACATATTAGATAGTATTCTACTGAGAACTCTAAAAAGATTCCATTTATTATTGAGATTCGCCAAAGCCCTTGAATTTTTGATACATCTATTTGTCGAAGACTCCTACAAAACCCTAAAGTTTTCGTAAAATCGTTTTTGGATATTAAGATGTGGCCATAGTTTTAAGTTTTCTCGAATCCATATTAACATTCCCACCCACGTCCTCAGCTTATTTCGTAGCTTTCCTAGGATTACTAATTTGTGGGTAATAAAAAATCCTTCGAAGGAAAGAACAGAAACTGTTATAGTTTTATAGAAGTCCTAAGATAAAAATAGGATTAAACTTCGAGAAAATTTTTTTTTAGATGGAAGTATATTTGACTTACTCGCTGAATAAGTGATCGAAAGAGAGCAACACTCATACGATATATCTGTCGTTTCACACTAATGCTCCAAATGAAATTTTTAATAAAGTCAGCGAGATATTCAATGATACCAGCAACTAAATAGACAAGAACAACAAAGACAATACCAATTGTTTATAATAATCAAATTATTACATTTATTTCACTTACTGAATAACCAGCGAATGATGTGCATAACTTCATCTCGAAATGAAGACGATGATGTAAGTAAAGTTGATGATAGAATTAGAGGACTATTATAGCGTTGTCTAAGGTAAAAAAATATCAGAAGATGATGGAAGTAATACATAGTAACTAAAAATGATTTTCAGTTATTTACTTATGTGGCAGACCATTGTTGGATATATTGAAGTCTATGTCGTGGAAATATGTATCGTTATTGTTTATTGAAGTTGTAAAATTTTGCTGTAAATCATCACAATTATCACCAAATGATTTAATAGCAAATATTCCTGTAAGTCGACCGACGAGAATTTGAGCTACTAAAATGCAAACCGTCCGTACCAGCATCAAAAACATCGCAGTAAACATTAAGACAAAATCGACACGATTTGCAAAACGAAACTATAATAAAATCGAATACATCTATCAGTTTTTATTTTTTATTTTTGAATATACTTACTAAATGGAAAATACCAACTGCTGCATCATTATCATTATGCTCAATATCCTCGTCTAATTGTATATACTTATTATCGTTCTTTTTTCTACTGAAAAACCGTCGCCAATCAGAAAAACTATGAATAATAGTAAATTCATTGTATTTTTCTTGAAATTAGTTATTTATTAGATCATACTTATTTTTCCAAAATTGTTTCTTGTTCCTATTATCACCATCATCATCACCGATAGAAAATTGACTGGAAGCACTCAATAGAGCCTGTCTATCATTCATTTAACTTTTTCGTCAAGTATACTATCATAAAAAGTATTGAGAAGAAGCATATACAAATAAATACATAAAAAGTGGTTCGTGATAATTAGGTGACTGCTCATGCGTTTCTTTTTTTCTTTTGCTTATTTGATAAAGCAATAAAACATGCGCAGTCAAGCGATTATTCATTGATGATGAGGTATAATTGCAAGAGTACCGCTAATTTCTTTTTTATGTGTATATATAAAGCACG